AGAAATCAGTATTACAGCTACTACAGTTGGCAGGACCCTATAAATTTATAGATACTATTAATAAAATGAATGAATAAACAATCTATACCTCTCCAATACATGAGCCATTACAAAATGAGTGACAAGGTAAGCAAGTATTGTTAGCATTATGATTGAATAAGTGACTGAAGAAGAAAAAGCAAAGTAAAAGGACAGAAGTAAGAACTAAATAAAAGTCCAAATTTAAAACCCAATATCCAAACATAATAGATCTAGTCTAGGCTGAAGTTTTAATTTGTAAAAAACTCATTATTGTTTACATGCAATTAAGTTTCTGTTATGCATGCTCTTTGCATTGAGCTTATTAAACTTTATTACTAAAATTATCCATTTAAATTATGCATGCATGTTCTTGTGTAATGTGATTCTCTAAAATTTTTAAAATAGTTTCAAAATTTGTTCAAAACAATGGCATAAATTATCCAATTGTTCTCCACTTTTGAGGCATAAACATAATTATTAGATTTGCATATGTTATCTTTGCTTAGTAGTAAAAATTTACAAATGAAATGTGATAGCATATTGATTGTTGTTGCTCAGATATAGTGCATTATGCAGCCATGAGCATGCAATGTCATCATACTTAATACAATAAATTTAGATACCCTTACACTCTATGCGTATCAAAGTCATGACAATCTGGTACACACTGTTTGTTAAAAATGAAGTTTGTACAAGTCACACATTGAGTATCATTAGGCCCCCAGCACCAACCAGAAGCAGATGAACATTGAGGATGACATGTCATCTTCATTTTAACTATAATAAAGATGGAAATTTACTACTTAAAAATAAAAATGAAGCAGCTATGTTAACACAGGGTTGTTCACAGTAACAAAGAATGCTTACACCCTCAGAGCAAAATAGAGCCACTATTAGCAAATAAAAATTAATATGTTACTCAAAGTGACATTATTTACAGCTAAAGACTAAATAATGGATATCCAACAGAGAAACTATGTACAAGAACCTGCTATTACATACTGCATACAAGTAAATGCTTAGACAAATTACCATGGCAAATAGCAAATACTCACAAACTACACAAAATGCAAATACTAACCACATTCATTAATACTGCTTCTGTGATTATCCAACACACAAGATGATGATGATGCATTGGCCAGGTAGTAGCTCAAATTCCCAAGGTAACATAAAGAAGGATTATTCTCCAATTGTATACCACCATTGATGACAGTTTCAAGGGATGAGAGATCAATGCTAACTAAATCAGTATTAGCTATTATAACAGAAAACTTAGTTGAGTCACTTGATCCATTGCATGACTGTGATAAAACTTGAGTGGAATCATTACCAACAGTTTTCAAGCTAGATAAGTATGGAAAAGTCTCTTTATTGAATCCACTAATATCCAGTGAGCCACATATCTCTCTAATGTCATTGAGATCATTCAATATTGATGGACTAGAAAGTTTTTGCCATAAAATTTTTGCAATATGTAACACTAACTTAACATTTGGAGGTACACTTGAAATCCTAAGTTCAGTAGTAATGACAGTACATCCAGTCAGTTTTCCAGGATCATTGTAATCAAATACACCACCAGTACATTCTAGATAATAATTCATCTATACCTCTTATGCATATAATTTTACCTTTAGGACAAGTATCATTGCATAAAACACATCTCATAGTTCTATTACTAGGAACAGGCATATAATTAGAAGGACAATCTTTAACACATTGAGTACCATGTTCATGTAAGAAGTTGTTTCTGAATGGATCTGGAACTCTCTGTGTACTATTGTAATTATATATTATGTGTTTATTCAAGTATATTCTAGAACAATCATGTAAAGTATTCTTGTATGTTATAGAACCTTCTGGACATTTATAATATCTATATAAGTGTGTTGCTAGTTAGTTGTGAGTTAGTTTTGTTTTTGTTAGTTGGTTTTTGAGCTCAGTTGAGTCTCGTGTTGATTAAGAATAAAGTTTGGTTAACAGATAGTTGGAGCGTCTGTTACATTTTTTTTGGTGGCAGCGGTGGGATAGTTCTCAAACGGTTGTAGAGGAAAGACCCACTATTGTATCTCTGCAAGAGAGAGAGACTAAAGTTTATAGTGTCTGGTGTGACTGTTTATGTCGGATAACAGTCGAGAGAATCAAGGGCGGTATTCTCTACGGGACTTACCAAGACACGACTACAGAGGACAGTTGCGAGGATTACATATTTTCAGAGAGAGTTATACTTCAGTTGATACGGAAGACTGTACTGAAGTGGAAGAAAGTCTTATTACAGGAGTTAGTGATCCGATGGAGCAATTAGCGGCAGCTTTGGCAAGTTTAGCAAAGCTTCAGGAGGAGGCCCAGAGACAAGCTGAAGAACGTCGTCAAGAAGAGGAGCGACGAAGAGAGGAGGCTCAGAGACAAGCTGAAGAACGTCGTCAAGAAGAGGAGCGACGAAGAGAGGAGGCTCAGAGACAAGCTGAAGAACGTCGTCGAGAAGAGGAGCGACGAAGAGAGGAGGCTCAGAGACAAGCTGAAGAACGTCGTCGAGAAGAGGAGCGACAAAGAGAGAGACATTATGAAGAGATACAGGCCATGCAGGAGCAGCATATGCAGCAGATAGAGATTATGAAAGGAGTTCTAGCA